GAAGCCAGAAGCCACTGCTGAGGGAGCAGCTGTAGCAGCCGCCCTGACATGGGGAATATGGGGCTTCTACATGTGGGGCTTCTACCTGGGGGGCTTGTACCTTGGGGTGAAGAAGACAGAAAAACAAATGAGCGTGTTGCCTCGGGCTCAAGCTCATCATTTGCCCTTCGAAGAATGAATAATTCAAATAGATTTTCCTACTTTCACCCACACATCTGAAAGTGGCCTCTTTCAGGAATGCTTTCTCGGTCTTTTTAGGAAGACTAATCCTGACACACACACACACACACACACACACACACACGCACACACACGGACTTGCCTATGCTCAGACCGCAGCATTCACCATCCCCTCAGTCCTCCTTGGGCTCCTTGTGCCCCGTCATCACAGCGAATGCATGTGCTGTCCCTGCACTCTCAGGCGCACGTGTGGAGACACAGTCCAGGCAGTGCCCTGTGGCAGATTCAGCCTGGGGCCCACTCTGGCCCTTACCAGTTGCCGGGCAAGGAAGGGCCTCTGGACCTAACTGTCCTCGGGGTCAGATGAGGCTAATCCATGTGCAGCGGCTGTGCCCGAGGACCAAGATGACCAGTGCGGGGACCTGATGTGAAGAAAAACCGTGTTCCTTCTCCTACGGTATCAACTATCCAGATGCAAACCCCGGAGCCACAGTCAATTCTGACTCAGAGGGGTTCCGGGGTTGTAATCTTTCCAGAAGCGAGCAGCTCGTGGGTTCAAACTTCAGACCTTTTCGTGAGCAGCCTGACCCTCGAGGCCTCTGAGCCTCCCCATCCCAGAAGAACAGATACACAGGATGGCAAGGGTTCTTTCTGAGTGGTTTTCACTTTCTTCTTTATACTTAAAATCCGTGTTCAAATGTTTTACACGGACATGTAAGCAGGAAGGGTTTCAATATATTAAAAACAATGCACAGGAACCCTACTTTTCAGCATTTTCCTAAGCTAGAATCTGCGCGGCTTCTAGCTGAGTGACATCTCAGAATGCGACCAGCTCCCAAGGGGCTTCTCTATGTGTTCGTGGAAAGCTGTATGAACCCACCGGAGCTTCATATTCGTGTTCGTTTCTTGTTGTATTCTGGTGGGATTTGAAGCAAATATGGAGGGTGAGGGGTTGCTTTGCTGAGTGCCTAGACTGTCTCTAGAACATCCTTATTTTTTATTTTCATAGTAAGCCTCAAAGACAGAGACGAGAAGCACATGAAGATGCTCACAAGCAAGGCAAGTGTGGACATAAGTGTGGGGCCCTCTGAAAGACCACCTGTCACACTTCGACAGTGCGCCTCTTCAGCAGCATGCCCCTGCACCGAGGAACAGGAAGGGGGTTTCTGAAAAAGCATACTGGGAGGAAGCTGTTGGATTAAGATGGATGGGAAGTAGTCAAGGGGACTGGTCTTCCTCCTCTTGAAGTTCCCCAGCTTTCTCCTTACGTCCATCAGCGGTTGGCTGACGTTGGTTGGGCCACTCAGCTCACTTCATGCACAACGAATGGAGCGTTGCCTGGTCGGTCCCGGGCAGCTTCGTGAAAGTGGGTGTGCTCAACCCCTGGCTGTGGCCATTCAGCATTCTGACTGCCTTCTTGTCGCCCTTTGTGGGTCAGCAGTCTGCTGTGATCCATCAGGTTTCCATGGCCTAGTTTTCAGACAGAGGAGGCCAGCGGCCTGTTTGCCTTGCTCTGTTTTAGTCTGGAAGCACTGCTGAAGCCTGCCCACCAGGAGTCACCCTGCTGGTATTTGAAATACCAGAGACCAAGTTTCCAGGGTCATACAACATGCAAGCCACCCCAGTACAGCAAACTGACAGGGGCGTGGTGGATACCCAGGGTAGCTGAGTCCTGACTCACAGAGATCAAAACGTTACCCAGCCAGGCAGCTCTCCCTGGGCGTGGCTGAGAAACAGCCACCGGATGCATGGCAACAGGGTAGCTTTACTCTGGTTGACCAAGTGGGGACTAGAGGCCTCAAGGCAAGCTCTTGAGAAATAGGGTTACATTTTTATACAAGTCCACCTGGGCAGATTAGGAATATGTAACTGATTTTGTAGAAACGGTCATGAATTTGCATTAGGGAGGGGTTATGAGTCTTGACAAGATATGGGAAGGTCTTCCAAGGTGGTCTGGTGACGTCTTTATGGTGGCTTTTGGTTCCTTGACCACAGTCATTTTGTCCCGAGGTGACCTGAAGGTTTTGACTGTCCTTTCTGTGCATGTTTCGCAGGCCAAGTCTGGCCACACGTAACCAACATTTGCTTGCCGCGATGGCTGAAAAGAGACAGGCGACCAGGAAGGGAAGAGCAGGTTACTTATGGGCCATATAGGAGGTAGATTCCAAATCCTGTCCCATCTCATCTCCTGGGGAAACCCAGGGCTAAGCAGGCTTGGGGGGTGGCCTTGAAATCCTCTCCCAGGCTCCTGTCTTCTGCTAGCAGCACCCTTATTTCCTCCCTTGAGAAGGAGATTTCCTGTCAGCCCAGGACTGGTATTAGCAGCTAAGAATTAGCTCCTCCCATTTGCAGCCAACTTCTTAGTTTGAAACTTGCTTCCGCACCATTACCCCTCACACCTCTGTCACACTCCAGAGCTTTACGTTTGGGTTAAAGCAGCCAAGTCTCAGGGTGCCAAGATGCCTAAGGCCACAGAGCAGGCGTGTGAGCAGGGGAAGAGCTGGTTGTGAGAGGAGACAGACATCGGAGCATCCCGAGCCGCCGGCAGTCTTGTCCGCACTGCCTGGGTTTGATGGGCAGCAGCTGAAAGGAAGCCGCTCCAGCACCTGGGTTCTAATAGGCCCTCCAGGGAATGCTGACAGCAGTCTAAGTTTGGGTACCACTGCATCGGGGCACAGGCAAGCATGTGCGGAGGAGATGGTGGTGAGGTGGTGGTGGTGAGGAGGTGGTGGTGAGGAGGCATGGCTGGCTGTGCAGAGCAGGGATCCTTGGTGTTGGCTGTGGGAGTGTGACATCAGCAGGAAAGGGTGCTAGTCATTTGTGCACATTGCTAAGACAGCACTGATGGACAGGTGAAGTGTGTTCGAGGCCACCCCAGCATTATCCGTAATAGTCTAAGACTGAAGTCAACCCCAGTGCCCACCCAGGATGACTGGTCCAGTGACTTATGGTACATTGTGTAGTGCGCCCTGTGCAGTGCTAAAAAGAATAGGGAGGCTTGGGATGCCTCAGGAGAAAGAGAGAGAGAAAGAGAGATCCAAGGACATTAAAGGGTGTTTTTTTTTTTTTAAGTAAGATATAGCAGAAGAATTGATACATTGAGTTAAATCCCTGTATTAAAGTCCTGCAAAATATAAATTTGTATTTACACTCTGGAAGACAGCCGTGCTCACCGCTGTACCACCAGCACTGCACCAGGTAAGACTCTCTACACTATGGCTTATATGGACTAGTGGATACAAGACACTCTGGACAATGGCTAAGAAACGACGAGGGGTGGATACTTTTAATTACATTTCTTCTTCTTTTTTTAATTTGTAAATATTACCTTTTTTTTAAAAAAAAAATGAAAATGGCGCTAACACAATTCAAGAGAAGCAGCCAACTGGCTTCCTGTTGGCATTTCACACGAAGGCAAGTCTATCCTGCCTCCAAAGAGTGGGCCCCAGGGACCCAAGGCATCAGGCTCCATCTCCCCTTCGCCCCTTCAGCTCACTCCCTGGGGAGGGCCAACATGCTTTGAAAGGGTGTTGCGACTTGTTCACAAGGGGCAGGGCCAGTCATTCTCTGCAGCCTTGGCTACACATTAAAATGTGTGGGGTTAAGGGGAAGAGGGAACCCCACAAAACACCACAGGTTCGGTAGGCGCAATTGTACAGCGATAATAAGTAGAGATTATAGTAAAGTCATAGAGAGCATGAGAGTTAAAAGATGGAGTCAAGTAATGGAGTCAGACGCAATTCATGGTAGCATCGCTCACCTCAGCCCCGCTAGATGGTCCTCGGGGAGGGGGCTTAGCCGTCAGAGAAGAAGCCACTGCTTCGTCCTCCTTAGCCACCTTCTCCAGCCACCCTCTCGAGAACCAGGGAGCCTCATTATTTATTGCTAACCACACATCATAGAGTCATACATCACAGAAAGGGGCAATACAATTCATTCTAGAACAAGTTTGATCACTCTAATGTCTCACATAATAAAGCAGACAATTACTATTCTGGGAGGCATGCAAGTTCCCTGATAGTGGACAATAACCTGAGTCACCGGGAGGGATATTAACATAGGCAATACAATCAATAGGAGGGGAATCACCTAGGGGTGTGCCCACATTAGTTGTGGGAATAACAATGGTGTCTGTGTGATCTAGACAGCTGATAATGACTAACTAACCTTGGTCATCCTTGGGCGGCTTCACCCTCTCTGGTATCTCCTGCAAGTGAACAGACCACCATTATCCTTATCAAAAGGGAGTGGGTATTATTTAGGGTGAGTTAGACTAATAGTCTAGCCACTATAGATGGCTGATGTTAAGGAGAATAACCTCTGACCTACTTTCGCTGATCACCTATTGTACAGTCACTCTTAAGCAGCTAAGTTTGGTACATATTTTGGGTAGACAACTTAAGAGAAATTCTTCTGTTCCTCACAAAAATGTATCTAGGTTTTAAAAATATAAACTCCCAGGCTCCATTGTCAGACCCCCAGCCAACCAAGCCAGAATCCCTAGAGCAGGGCTTGGACATTAGCATTTCTAAGTTCTTTGGGTCATTTAAGTCAGTGGCCACAGTTGGGCAGCACTGCGTTGGGCCTTCTGGGTCAGTTTCTTTCTCCAGAAAGCCAGAGCAACAGCAAAGGGGATGCCCAGCAGCTGAAAGGAAGAAATACCACAGTCCCTCAAGCCTGTCACCATCAAATCCATAACATCTGGAAAGGTTCAAACCTGCCATCGGCCTGTTTTCTGTCTCCACAGCCCAAATCTCAAACGAAGCCCCGACATCACCAAATCCCCACCGACAAAGTCCGAGCAACTCCTGAGGATAGAGGACCATGACTTCAGCATGAGGCCTGGCTTCGGAGGTACGAGGCGCGCATGCTCGAGGGTGGGTGTCTTCTCTCCGGCCCTTCTGTTCAAGGTCCCCCGTGGTGCAAACGCCCTGCTCTTGGCTACTAACCGAAAGGTCAGTAGCTTTCATCCACGTGCTCAGGAGTGTCGCAGAAGAAAGGCCTGGCAGCCTACTTCCATAAGATGACACCCCTTTCTCCATCGGAAACCGCAGTGGGGAGCGGTTCTTCTCTGTAACAAGTGGGGTTGCCGTGGGGGCAGAGACGTTGCCATCAAGTGGGAATTACCATGAGGGCAAAGGGTTTGTTTTCAGTTTCTGTCTGTAGGCGGGAAATCAAGCCAAGGGACCACACAGCTTGGTTCCTGCCGTATCAGGTCTGCCACAGCTGGGGCTGATGCACCGCACAGCATCTTCTGACCATCTGCCCGCCCCACACAGGCTCAGCTGCTCACGAGGCCCAGCCCTGAGCAGGAGAGCTGGGGAGACTGGGTGATGGCAGCTTTGAGCTGTTGCCTGAACGTGCTTTGACAGAATAACCTTGGACCACATTTGTTCTCCTCTGGGAGCTGGCAGCTGGCGCGATGGCTACTTACCCCAGGACAAAGCATGGTCTGTTAGGCTTAATTAAATAAAAATAACTTGAGAAAATCATGATTTGGAGCAGAGGGAGGCCCAAACCCTCTGAAGCTTAGGCGGCAGCTGGCTGCCAGCTTTCCACCCTCATGGTGTCAAAGAAGGGTTTGTTCTTATGAGGTTTTATCCTAGAGGGGAAAAAAAATTTTTCCCCAGTTAAAAAAAATCATTCTCATGTCTTTTCTTTGTTCAGTCTCCTTTGGGCCCTGTACGGGAGTCTGTCTTGCCCCTAACCTGCTCTTTTGGGATCCAATTAGTCTTTTCTCTGAGGATGATTCAGGGTGTCCCTCGCATGCCCCACAGGTCTGAAAGTAGATAGGAAAACAAGCAGACTCCACAGGCCCGTTACTGGGAAGGAGCCCTGCTGAAGCCCTGACTAAGCCCTCCAGTGCTCACCAAGAAAGGTCAAGGGTTTGAACCCACCAGCCATTCTGTGGGTGGGAGTGGGGGGAGGGGAGTGTGGCAGCCTGCTCCCGTAAGGATGGCGGGTCCTTCCTGTTGTCACTAGGTGCCTGCACTCAGTTCTCCCTCACAGCCGCCCAGTGTACAACCAACAAGACCCTGCCCCGGCCTGCGTCATCCTCACAGTTGCTGTGAGGTTGGAGCCCATAGGAGCCACCACTGTGTCAATCCTCCCATCCCAGGTCTGCCTCTGGTTCTCTGACTCTCTACCCTCAAGCAGGGGGCCCTTTTCCGGGGTCTGCCCTCGCCTGGCAACATGTTCAAAGTTCATGAGACGAAGTCTTGCCCTTCTTTCTTCCAAGGTGCATTCTGGCTGTACTTCTTCCACGACAGATTTGTTTCTTTTTCTGGTGATTTATGGTATCTTCAATATTCTTGCCACTTCCAATGCCAAGTCTAATTCATCAATTCTTCCCTGGTCTTCTTGATTCTCTGCCCAGCTTTCGCGTGCATAAGAGGAGCTGGGGAATAGTACGAAGGGAGCCATATGCGTCTCAGTCCCCACAGTGCTATCTGGGCTCTTCGGCTCTTTCAGGAGGGCTTGCGCAGCAGCTTGAGCCCGAAGCTTAGCTGAAATCAGAACCCCAGGGGGTGAGTGTATCGGCATACCTGAAGTTCCAGACTCGGCACCATTCGCTTTCTTGGCTGCTGCTTGTATGAGTGTTGATCGCGGCTCCAAGGAAACGGGACCTTCAACAACTGCAGCCGCTCCTACGTGTGTTTGTTGCGCGTGTGTGATCTGTTGGCCCAGCTGAGGGGTCTGGTTTTCTATCGAGTTGCCGTCCGTGCTTACGGCTGAGTTCTTGGCTCTTCCTCAGTAAGTGCACTGATTGATTCTTCATGATTCTCAGCAAGCCAGGCCGGGCCATCCGCACACTGCAGGCTGCTACTGAGCCCTCCCCGAGTCCTGATGCCGAAGGCCTCCTTCCTGAACCTGTGACTATGCACCTTTGAGGGGATCAGCGTGCTTTGGCGCTGCTAAAGGGGCTGTGCCGAGAGTGGTACCCGCCTCTGAGTGAAACGCCCACGAGGGCAGAGGGCGGAGGTCGATGCACCTCTATGGGACAAAGACGCCCCTCCGACCAGTGACCCCCAGCCACTCACTGCAGGGGCTCACGGAAGGAGCTGGCACAGCCACGTTCATCCTTCTGAACGATGGGCAAATAAATTCCTGTTATTAAAGCCATCCATGTTTTGGTAATTTCTTATTCTGTCAGCCCTGGAATTGACTCCCTGGCAGTGAGCTGAATGAGGAAACAAACACACTTAGCAAGGCCTTGTTCACGGCCAGACAGAGAGCTTGGCTTCTGTGATGAAAGAGCCCCACCCAAATCCAAACCCTTTGCCATCGGTGGATTCCAACTCGATTCTTCTCTCACTGCCATAGAGTGGGTGCGGACGGAGTACAACTCTCCTGTGCATTTCTGAAACTGTCCCTCTTCAGAGGACTACAAAGTCCCATCTTTCTCCCGAGGAGTGCTAGTGGTTTCAAACTGCTGACATTGCTGTTAGCAACCCAGCTTGTAACCACTACGCCACCTTTCCAACTCATCGTGACCCCATATAGGATTTCTGAATGTAAATCTTTCCAGGAGCAGCATAGCCTCATCTTTCTCCTATAGAGCAGCTTGGGGATTTGAACTGCTGATCTTGTAGTCAGTGGTCTTGACAGCACACCTGGGCTTCTTATGATAAAAGAGAGTGCAAACCAAACCCAGTCATGTCTGTCTAGCTGATTCTGACTCCGAGGATCTCTCCAGAAGAGTAGAACTTCCCCATAGAGGCTGTACATCTGCATGGAAACGGATTGCCCCATCTTTCTCCTTTGAATGGTCAATCTTTCTGTGAGCAGCAAGAGCTTTCATGCTCGGGCCACCAGAGCTCCTTAAAATACCCACTGCCCTGGAGCTGTTGACTTCTGCTCAAGGTGAGCTATGGTTTCTGAGGCTCTAAGTCTTTACAGAAGCAGATTGCCTCATCTTTATCCTGTGGAGCTGCTGGTGGGTTCGCACCGCCAGGCTTCTGCTTAGTAACCCAACACTTAACCCAAGACACCACCAGGGAGTCTCAGACTGTGCAAACTCAAAGGTAAATACAAGAAACAAAGCAGGTGACCTCATGTTAAGGAGTCATGCAATTACTCCTTTGATCAGGCCTGCCCTTTGACCTTTGTCTTCACCATCCCTTTAGCTGGGCATGCATCCAAAGAAGGAGGCTATCGATCAATTTCCTCATTTCAGAATCACTGGGCAATTCAGAGAGCAACAACAACACAATTTACCTTTGCTGATTCCAGAGACTCCGATGGTGGTTCCAGCCTATTATCTCTGGCTTGACTTCAGGTTACCATGTGGCCACACTAACCCTTTAGATCTGGCACGATACCTAGTTTGTGGGAAACACCCCTTCCTCTGCTCCAGGAAAAGTTTATGTCAAAAGAGTGGGTGCCCTTGCCATGTCTCCTTCCAGGCCCAGCCATCCCTGTGGGTGTGGATGTACAGGTGGAGAGCTTGGACAGCATCTCAGAAGTCGACATGGTAAATGTTTCTGTGGCCAGGGCTGTGGGCTGGCAGGAGCCAGAGGGGGCGGGGTGTACACTGGGCCTGTCCTGGGTTGGGTACTCTCTACACCTAAGCTGCCTGTGTTCCACCTCTCCTACCAAAACAAACAAACAAACAAACAGTGCTGTCCAATTGCTTCTGAGTCACAGCAACCCTGTAGAACAGAGTAAAATCTCTCCTTTACATTTCCAAGGCTGTCAGTCTTTGTGGGAGGGGACAGCCTCATCTTCCTCCTAAGCAGTTGTGAGTGGGTTTGAATTGCCAACCCTTGTGGTTAGAAGCCTAACACGTAACCCACTGAGCCATTAGAGGTCCTTACAACTCTCCTGGGAGGTGGGAATGCTCAAGCTCTCTCTCTTTTTTTTCTTCTTCCCAGTTTTATTAACATTTAATTTCCATACCACACATCTCAATGGTTTAACTATATGAAAAAGAATGGTGCAATTGGCACCGCAGTCTGTTTTACAGCCTTTTCTTCATTCTTGTCCTCACTTTTATTAGCTCCCCACCTTCCCCTAAGGCCAGGAAACTATGAATCCAGTGGCTGTCCCTATAGATTTACCTTTCCTGGATTTCACATAAGGAAAAACATACACGCCCCCGCCGCAGACCCCACATGTAATAGGAGGACCAAATGGCTGGACACATCTGGTCCCTGTGAAGCCTGTGACCGGCTGTGGAAATGCAGACGTGAAAGGGTGTCCCTTTACCCTCTGCTCGCTGGGGTTAGATTAAAACTGGAACATGTTGCCACTCCTTGACTTCAGCGCCTTAATTTGGGCTCCCCAAGAAGCAGGCCTGAGACAAGCATTCTAACTAACACAAGTAATTTATTTGAGAAATGATCCTGGGAAACCCCAGAGGGAAGGAAGCAACGAGGTTATGGGATCAAACTTGCTAAAGGCATTCGGGGCTCGGTGGTAGAATTCTCACCTTCCATCCGGAAGACCCGAGTTTGACCCCCAGCCAGGGCGCCCCCCTTGCAGCCACCGTCTGTCTGCCAGGGGAACCTTGCTCATGCTGCTGTGACGCTGACCAGGTGTCGGGGTCAGCTCCTGATGCAGATGGTTTGGGGGACGTGCTAGGGTAAGAAAGCATTGGGGCTAGGGTTTCATTTCACACCTGCACGGGTTTGTCAGAAACAGGAGGCGTTTACAGGTGCCTCGCACTCAGTGGATGCTGCAGACAAGCTCTCCAAGCCTTGGGCCTGTTGGAGGGCCTTCTGAAAAGAAGATCCAATCAACACAGTAGCTCTCAGCCGATCTGCAGGCAGAGAGCTCAGCTCGGAAGGCCACACAGCTGTCTTTTGTGATTCCAAAGGAGTAGTCTTGGTGGATTTTCCTGAAAACATAGAGCCCTCTTGGAGGTTTATCACAAAGAAGTTTTAAGAACATCGAGAACTGCAGTGGTGAAGAAAAGGCCCGGAAAGCCATTTTCCATCAGGACAAGGCACCTGCTCCGCCTTCCAAGGCAGCAGGGCGGGCCTACTAGGATTTCCCTGGGTCTTGTCCCTTCAGTCTTTTAATCCAAAACTCAAAGGACATTTTAAAGGAACACGTTTTTCATCCCTCAAGGATCCACAAACTGTCTTTTTGATGTGGCATCAATCGAAAAGTGTGGGATGGGTTAGCGAGAGGGACACATCTCCCTGGATGGAGTGTAGGTTGTAAGATAACATTGATATTGGGACCAGCCCTTACCTTACATCACAAACGGGTTCGAGAGGCCATGACCTGTAATTGAGAAAACTAGAGACGTCAGAGCCCAGAGTTTTATTCGAGGCAGAGGCTTAAATACTTTCTCTGACGAAACCTGTAACGCATGTCAGGTTTACACAGAAGAACAGTTTAAGAGTATTCTTTATGAATCTACAAAGCAGCATTAACGCTTCAACTAAGTTTTTCATGGACAAGAGGGGAGGATGAGGTTGGGAACATGAAGCAACTGATAAGTTTGCAGGCGGCTGCTTTCTGCAGCTTTGGCAGGGAGCAGGAGGCCAGTGTCTGTTTTATCTCAGAGAGACAGACCAGCAGCTGCTTCTATCAGCTCCTACGGTGGAGCTGTCAGCTTCCTTCCACGGCTTGAGCCTTGAAAGGTGGAGGTCCTGTCCCGTTAGCCTACAGAACAAACAGCTTGCCCCCACAGGATGTCAAGAAACAATAGCTTCACATGTTGAGGTTTTACATGAAGGTTTCTACTGTTTCTGCTTTGCCTTGTCTTCATACTTCTGAAAACCAGCCGTCGAACACCATGCAGCCGGCAGGGGCCCTAGCCACAGCCATCGTGGGACCAAGCAGCACTTTGTTCGTGCGCCTGAGTCACCAGGAGTCAGAGGCTGGCCTGATAGCAGCTAATAACCTCACTGGGTTCCTTGTGTGGAACCCAGCCCTCCCGGGATCGTCCCACTGACAGTCCAAGAGCACGCCTCGTGGTTGTCCCAGCTGAGGGCCTGGGGGCTGGGGTACACATCCGGCACCCCCACCTCAGGCCAAGAGCTGCTTCCAGAGCTTCCCCTCCCTTCTCTGGCGCACCCGCTGTCTGCCTGGGAGCCTGCCAGGAGTCCTCTTCCCAGTGCAGAGCTCCATGTCCCGGCCCCGGTGACCGTGATGGGGAACACCGACTTCTTCCCCGGCAGTGTTCTCGTCCTCCCAAGGAGCCCACCCCAGAGACAGGAGACAAGACCCTCCGGAGGAGGCTCGCTTGATTCAGCTCCAACCCCCTGCAGGTGGCAGGCTTCACAGGGAGGGCACCGTGTCTTCAGCTGGGAACCCCAGTGGGCGGGAGTGGGGGGGCGGTGTGTGTCTGTGACTTCCCCTCTCGGCCCCTCCCCCGGCAGGACTTCACGATGACCCTCTACTTGAGGCACTACTGGAAGGACGAGAGGCTGTCTTTCCCCGGCACCAACAACCTCAGCATGACGTTTGACGGGCGGCTGGTGAAGAAGATCTGGGTGCCCGACGTGTTCTTCGTGCACTCCAAGCGCTCCTTCATCCACGGCACCACGACAGACAACGTCATGCTGCGCGTGCAGCCCGATGGGACAGTGCTCTATAGCCTCAGGTCAGCCCCACCCCCCGCCGCCGCCCCTCCACCCTCCTCCTGTCCCCTCACACCCAGGGCCTGGGAAGAAACGCATCACTGGTTTCACATCAGCAGGTGGGCTTTGGGGCTGCGACTAGCAATGCATCTAACTTTCCCGTGCCCCGCTGTCATCTCCAAGGACAACTAACTCCACGGGAATGGACATGTGAAAGGCTATGTGATCTTGAAAATCTATTTGGAACATTTCTCAAGAAAACCTAGTGGTTAAAGACTCCACCGCTAACCAGAAGGTTGACTGTTGAAACCCCTAGCCACTCCCCAGAGCCAGGAAGTTATTTCAGAAAGATTGCCACCTGGGAAGCCCCATGGGGGCAGTCCTACACTGCCCTACGGTGTCATTGTGAGTCGGAATCAACGCAGCAGTAGTGGGGTCTTTTGTTTGTTTCCGTTTCAGATGCCTATCCTTTTAGGTTAGGGGGCCTGGTTGCATCATGGTTACATAACGGACTGCTAACTGCAAGGTCAGCAGTTTGAAACCATCAGGAGAAAGAGGGGCTTTCTACTCTATCAAGAGTTACAGCCTCGGAAGCTCACAGAAGCAGTGCTACTCTGCTCTCTAGGGTCGCTAAGAGTCGGAGTCAGCTCAGTGGCAGTGAGTTGGTTCTGTGTGTGTGTGTTTAATACTATAGGCTATACTTCAGTTTTTAAAAGTTCACTTTACTTCTCATGCTTGATTCACAAAATATACTTTGAAATCTGGAAACGCTTCTTGAATTCATTTAATCATATGGGAGAATTTGTGTAATGTTTTCTCAGCCAAAGAAAGGACTGGAAACATTGCCATCATTGACATAAATCACATAAATCATCGTTGACAAGACGGGAAGCGGGAAGCATACTTTGATAAAAAAAGATTTGTCTCGCTAAGAGGCATCCGAGAACTAGATAACACAGTCTTTTCAAAGGCATGCCTTCTCGAATCTCTGGATTCCCATTTTGGGGAGTCCATTTTAGCACTCCTCCTCATCCCCCTCAGCCTCACTGCCATCAAGTCTTTTAAGGTGACCCTAATGGACAAGGTAGACCTGTCCCTGTGGGTTTCCAAGATGCGAAGTCTTTACAGGAGTACAAAGTCTCATCTTTCACCCAAGGAGTGACTGGCGGTTTCAAACTGACAACCTTGTAGATCGCAGTCCATCTATGTAACCACTATGCTACCATTTGAACTTGACTGCTAGCTGAAAGGTTGGCAGTTCAAACTCACCCAGTCATTCCATGGGAGAAAGGCCTGGTGATCTGTTTCCATGAAGATCCAGCCAAGAAAACCAGATGCAACAGTTAGTTATAAGGCTTGGCTTGGGGTTTGGAGTCTGGATAGACAGGTTTTCCACTCCCTTCTCACCTCAGTGTTCTGCCTGAAAAACTGTTAACTGAAACACAAGCATGTCCTATTGAAGTTAGCTGCACCACCACCTTTGGAAATCAAGGGTACGCCCCATCCCAAGGAGGGGCTGTGGACTGAGCCCCAGGCCTTCCCAGGGAAGGGACTCGGCCACTTGCTGTGACATGCTCCTCCAGTGCTGATAGTGCAGTTCTGTTCACAGGCTTTGTGTTGGCTCACACGCCATCAGTGACTGGTAAAGAGAACACACACAGCCGTATGTGAGCAGGAGGTTGCTAGTTGCCTGGAATAGCTAGAGTCCCTCGACACCTCTGGGAAGATTGAAAAGGTCACTATCAGGTCTCAGGAGCAGCAGAGTCTCCCCCGCCCCATGGTTGGGTGTGGCCACAGGAAGTAGGACCACAGGTGGCCACAGATAGAAGAAACCATGCCATGAAGTTCAGTCAGCAGTGAGCTTCACCTACCAGGGGCCTGAAAACAGAAGACTTAATCTTTCTCTGCAAGTAAAATCATGGGTTTGCTTCACTTTGGGTTTTTTTCCCCCTAGTTCTTATTTTTTGTGGGGGGTGTGTTCTTTTTTTAAAAATCATTTTATTAGGGGCTCATTCAACTCTTATCACAATCCATACATACATCAATTGTGTAAAGCACATTTGTACATTCATTTCCCTCATCATTCTCAAAA